TTCTTTCACCATGTGGGCTTGACCCAAACCAAATGTTCCAGTTTATTTTTTAACTGAACAAGAATATTTTATTTCTACTCAGTTCAACTTGAAACTGCCTCTGGGTGTGCTGTTATGGCGGATATGAATCGCACAGGAGAATTTGGAATAAGACAATTTGCATCTCAGCCGGTTAGCTGGCTCATAAGAAAATATTATTAATTCAACAATATTAAAATGTTACATTTATATCAGCAAGACTGAAGCAAAATGTTTGGATACTTCCAAACTGAAGTTCTTCATAACTTTTCCTGCAATGAAAAAAATTGATATGCGGAAAGGAATGTTTAAATAGTAAAAATTGTACAAGAGGAAAAAAATAATTCTGGCTCTAATTTCCAAGCAACTAGTCATTACATCAGTTTGATGCCACAGTAATTCCATTGAGCTCCTCTGGAATGACACCGGAATCATATCAACCTAAAGGGGCTGGAGGTGCAATGTTACTGATCTGACCTCAGTGCATGGCTTTAGGTAGACAAAAGGTGTGGCTTAAGGTGCTCCAGTTTCTCTCTCATATTTAGCTTCTCCTTGGGACTCTAAGTATGTTGAGGATCTTGCAGATCCTGAAACAATAACATGTGGTTAGAAAGGAGGACACCCTACAAACCACCTGGAATAGTGCACATCTTTCCAAAACTCATGGATAAATAAGACAATCAGGTTTTTAAATGTAGGAGATAAGCCCAGCTTCTCCTGGGATTCAAGAGATACTGAAACTAGCATTTGTGTGTGAGATAGACATGAAAGTTTAGAGAGTTTCAGTTATTTATATAGATATAGAGAGAGATACATAGATACATATATGATATATATTTATTTCTTACAGATTGCTTAAAATATATTGCACTTAGAAATTATAGTTACATTGAGTTATTTCAGCTTCCTCTTCAGCCCTAACTTCTAATATTCGGTTGTTATTCAAAAGCAGTCCAGACCAAATCAATACAGACAGCCATTTTCACAGCAGAGAGCCCTACAACAACACACCAGTTACTCTCCTCAGGTTTACAGTCATCAGGACACAGGGTGCTGGTGCTGCAACACCCAGCTTGCTCTGGATCATCACTTGTGGACAGCAAGGCTGAGGGATGCTGCTCCTGTGTGGGTTTCAGAAAGGTCATGTCAAGCTGTTCTCACCTCACTGCAATGGCATGGGGTCATGAGGGTTGAGAGACGCAGAATGAGCTCAACTACATTGAAAAGAGAGCAAAGTACATAGTTATTTGCTCTGATCTGTAATAACCAGCCTCTGATTCACGTTCAACAGCCCCCAGTGAATGCAAACATACCAAATTGTAGTAGTCTCAGCCACAACATAAATTATTCACATTCTACTTCCCCCACTTTTAAATATCAGAGTGAACAATTAATCTCTGCACTTTATACATTTACTGATTACACAGTGTACTCAAAACATCAGAGAACAATGGCAAACTCAGAAACGGGGGATTCTTACACCTGAAATAATCCTGAGACCACCAAATTTGAGTAATGTAAACTAGGTTTTTTATTTCCAGTCTTTTAGATAAAATCGTTGAAAAGCAGCATTTCGAGGAAGTGTTTATATGCCAAGCACAGAAACCCTGCCCAAGACAACAGATTAATGTCCTACAAAAAATTTCCAAGCAGAGCTGGGGAACAGAGGAGAGGCTCTCTTGAATTTGATACGTTGGTGCCTTCCAGAAATTAAAACGCAATATGTAGACTGTTCCCATGCCAGCTGTGTTTCTAGAGACTGCTTTCTGTCTAATGCAGACCACATTATCGCCATTTTAAGCTAAGATTTCACTTAATTTACATAGACTGGGACCGACTGCAGCTGTCTGTTTTTCAGTGCAGACTCGCTGCCTGGGATTTCAGGTCACAGTGTGTGAGGCTCTGCTGCTATCAGCTTGCAAGCTTGTTTTTTTAAAAATGGAAGATCATGGGACCTACAGGTTTCCAGAACTTTCCACCTTTAGGAAAAGCAATGGTCAAGGCTGGGTTTAGACATGATTAATCACCTAGGAGTTGTACCATACTGCTCTTTAAGGTACGGTGCAGGCTTAATTTTGCCAAGGAATGAGAGCACTTGTGGAAGCCTTGGTACCCTCTTTTCACTGGACCCCTGCAATGATACTATACGGAAGAGAAATAATTTTGAGTTCTTGGGGGGAGGTGGGAGGAGTGTTTTTTGCAGTAAAAAACAAGGATCCTGAGATAAATAATAAAACAAGCTTGTGATCAGTGACATATCCAACATATTTTGCTAGAAGACATAGGATCATGGATTCGTCTCTGATATACTGACCTGTACAAAAGTGGCTTCTGATTCATCCAGGTCTCATGTGCAAAGCTTAAAAACTATTTAATATACTTGTGCCTCAGTTTCATATATGTCAAATAGTTTTTTTGGGGGGACAGATTAGTTTTCATAAGGTCTCAGACCTTGTGGTCATAGGTCTACAGCTAGACCAAAGTAAACAATGCAGTCCTTATATACGAAGAGCTTTTGACTGTACCTGCAAAGATCCTAGACAAGGAAACATTCAACCTGTTTGCACTTCACTTTTATGTTCCTGTTGTCCAGAGCAGAGTTGCAGCCTTAAAAGAGTCATTGTATCCCCCACAACCGTAGTGTTTGTCAAGGTCCAACTCAGGCCAAGTTTGGAAGAAACTAAGTTCTATCGTCGGTACACAAATGTGAATATAAGTCAACCAGATTACTTCATAAATAGTGGACAGCCCAGGGATCACTGAGCTCTCCTGCAGGACAGTGGGCTGCTTGCCAGGAACTTCCCTTGAGTAGGGACACCTCTCAAGGTTACTCCTAGAAGCTAAGGGATTCCTTGACTCAATAGATTCTCAGTAAGTGATTAATGACAAGTTAAACTGTGAAGTCTTAGTTAAGTGATATAAAGGATGGATTGTGCACATATAATTCTTGAGACATAAACTATTGACCAAGGCTGGGACCAAGTTTGAATTTAACCACACATAAACTCCCTCCTGAGAAAGTGATTAGAACACAAGGGTGCCCTTTCTGAACCTCATGACTCAACAGGAGGGTCTCCCTGACAATTTGTCTGTCCTTGTCCTCTGTGCAGTAAATAATCAAGTGTACCTTGCCATCAAATCTTATTAAAACACTGTTGCATTTACTATCAAGCTTTGTTAAATTGCTGGTTTATATCTATAAACATATTGCTACTTCTTTCTTACGAGTGAAGTCCATCCACGACACATCCATGACTGTTACATTAGAGCTGTCAGAGCCCAGAAGCAGCCATCTAAAAAACAGCAGGTCACTTGGTTTCCTCACAAAGGATTATATGTAGTCCCAGCCAATGGGTCTTGTGCCCTCTTTTTCACAGTAGCTGCATTCAACAGAAGCAGAGTCCACTCTCTGCATCAGATCTGCACTCTCATGTTGAGGGCATCTTCACAAGGATGGCTGCCCAACCCTCTGAAGCAGGGATGACAAATTCACTTGGTGAGCACGGTAACCCATTTGGTTATTGTATTAAAGGAGAGAAGGAAAGGGCCTCTTCTGGATCCTGGACAGGACTACAAGGGCTGAAACATTTCTAAATTCAGCATGATCAGCTTTTTTTACCAGTTTGTGTTGCCTGATAGTCTTCTGGCCTCACCTATGGGATTGGGAAACTTTAGTATTGCAATGATACATTTCCAAATCCCACATGGGCATCAGTAAGAGATACTGACTGTCAGTCCCACCTTGCTGAGCTCCTCTGGGAATAAAACTGGCTCCAAAGGAACTTTACTGTGACATGCTCTCTGTAATTGTATCTCAATTATCTGAATGGACTTTGGCGGGTGCTCTGAGACTCACTTTGGTAAGGTTTTGGTCCATGAAGAGATTAGCACATGTCAGGTGAGCTGTAGTAATGCTTCATGTGTTTGCAGCTCCCTGGGATCTTCAGGGGAGTTAGTGATGCTGCACATAATGCTGAGCTATGGGAGCAGCCTGTAGCTCCCAAGGGTCTGCCTGGACCCATCAGTGCCCAGCGACACTCACATCTCTCTGAGCTCTTACAGTAAACTCCCTGAGCCTGCCTGTATAAAGCCATTTCTCTCCACATGAGGGAAATCTGCAATATATTTCAGGATGCAGCAGATCCACTCAGCTGAAATTTTGACAATTATAAGTCTCAGGAAATCTGGAAGTAGGTGTTGTGTTAGGTGGCAAATTGAAGAGTTGGCTATTTCTTCATCCATGTCCTGGCAGCAGAGATACAAGGCAGAAGCAGTGGCAGGCTGTCTTGTTTCCCCTCTGCTGTATACCGTTTTGCCTTACTGAACTGCTTCATTTGGGATACCTGCTTGGGACAGGCTACTGGGATTAGCTGTTACATCTGCCTCCTGACAAATGAGTGTGACATCAGAGTGACTTTAATTTTTTGCAAATATATATTGCCAATTTCATTAACATGTTAGCACAGACCAGGAGTTTAAAACTGAAGGAGACTGAATATTACATCTTTCTTTTAAGGCTGATGTAATTTCCTCTCTGTATGGAAAAAATTCTCATTTATATTTTTCAGTATTATCTACCATATCTAATGTAGATACTAGCAGATCTAATCTACCAAGCCTTAGATTTTTTTCTCTCTCAAGCCTGCATCCTGTAAATCCCTGTAATTGCATGCAGCTGTTTGTGAGCTATCCGCTGCAAATTGAAAGCAGAGAACCTCTGAAAAAGGAGGAGTTGAAAAAGCTGCTGATTTACCTAGAAGACCCTCTTTGGTCTGCTCTCCCCTGCCCTCCTCTGCTGTCACTACCTTGTAGTTTATGACATCCAGATAGTGGGAGGTCTGACAACCCGAACAAGACAGAGAGCAAGAAATTCCATTCCTGTTGAAATCAGTAATTCCGAGGAGGAGGCTGCTTTTTCGTGAGTCTGTGCATGTGCTTTCTTTTGTGTCACCTCAAGAAGGGCTCTGATATTGTTAAAATATAGCTTGCCCTGGGGCGGGGAAATGCACAAGGAAAGAGCCGGCAAGCAGCCTATCTCTCAGAAGAAAAGAGCAAGACTCGCAGCACAGGAACTGGCTTCACTCAAGTGTGCAGTTTAGAAGTCAAAAAACTATTTCAAATTACAGCATTATGGAAGAGACTGAAGAAAAAGGGCACAAAACTGGCTAAATATAGTGAAGAATATCGTAAACCAGGGTACAAAGTGCATCTAACTGCAGTTTGAAAGTGGGCTCTGAAGTGCAATGTAAGTCTTCCTTAAATTGTATTCTTTTGTAATAGTATCTAATTGTTTAATTTCCATTCCAAAACCATGCTGGGCCAAAAGGTACAATTAGCCACAAGAATCAGCATGGAGCAGAATGTGTAATCTCTAATATGAGGCTGAAAATGATACTGAAATACAACAGAAGACAGAGACTATCAGCCATATTATGGAAGATGCACTATAAATAAGGGCATACTGAATTATTTCAACAGAAAGATGCTGGATGGAATCTTTAATCAACTTTCTTAATACGGAAGCAAGAGCTCTGCTGTTTAATATGGCAAGCTATTTTAATACTGCTGTGTTTAAAATTGTGTGATTTTACAGTTACCAATAGCAATAAGATGTAGCTCCAGAGGGGAGTCCTAGTGGTTGGAAAAGTTTTTTCTCTTTTATTTCTCCAACATCTTTGCTCTCTGAAGCCTCAAATCCACGTTCTCTATCCTACAGCCTGGTTTTGCTTTTCAGCTGGATTTTCAATGTATGCCAACACTGGACTTTCTATGGAACTGAAAACAAAACATTTCAGCTTTTGGAGTAATTCTGGTATGTTTTTCTACGTCACCCTAGTGGCAAGAATACAGCCAATAAAAGATTGTGGTCCCTCAACTTCTGGCATGGACAGCTGAGGAATATAATGCCCAATGGTGACACAGGGTGATAATTTCCTGTTTTTCACTATTTATCTCTGTGGTTTTGGACTTAACAATGGATATTCTTTGTGATGAGGAGAGCTCTGTGAACCCAACAGCAAACTCCTTCATACAAATAAATCAGGAGAGAAGACTCTACAGAAATGTTTATGGAGCTGGAGAGATTAATATATCGCATCTCATTAACTTGACTGTGGACTCTGAAAATCTAACCAATCTTTCATGTGAAAGTAACATGAGTCCACCGTGCTACTCTTCCCTGATTCAGCTTTCACAGAAAAACTGGCCAGCTTTGCTGACAGTAATAGTGATTGTTTTAACCATTGCTGGAAATATTCTTGTCATCATGGCTGTTTCACTGGAGAAAAAACTACAGAATGCCACTAACTATTTTCTAATGTCACTTGCAATAGCTGATATGCTGCTGGGTTTCCTTGTCATGCCTGTGTCAATGTTAACCATTCTGTACGGTGAGTATTTGCTGTATAATCTACTGCATGTATCGAGAAGCTTTAAACATTGCATGCACATCCTGTTGTAATTATTATTTCATTCTGTCACTGCAGAAAATTGTAATCATTCCACGTAAGTTGAAATATATGTAACTGGTTGATGGATGGAATAGGTGAAGTACTTGAATCTTTTCCTACTTTATATTTCTAGTTACAGGCATTTAAACACAGGTCAGAACATTAGTTTATTACTCAATTGCTAAATGAATTGTCTCAAAGTGTGTATGAAGATGCTTTGTTTTCTTTATTGCTTTCAGGATTTTTACCCTGGTTTATAATTTTAATATTCCTGATAAGAATAGAGGGTCCTGCCAGTTACTTTGTTCTGCAAATATGCACAGAAGCACCTTTAGATTCAAAGTAGGCAACCCTTCAATTATTTTTCATTAAGTAATACAAACGTAAATAATTTTCTTATTCCCAAGACCCTGCTTAGACATCTACTTACCAGCAAATGCTGGAATAAATATTTTGAGAGTTAAAAAATGAATGGAATAATTAATTCTACCTAATTTTTTCAGTAACATTTACAAATGCAAAGCTATGATTTCTTAAGAGAAGTTATTTGAGAATTAAGTTAATAATGGTTCACAGTTCATGCCCTTGCAGGTGATTAATAGCAGCTGTTCTCATTTTCACCACAATCACTTGCAGCAAGCTCACATAGGAAAAAGCAGCACCCTATGTGTTCAGTAACAATATTGTCAGGCTGCTACTATCTCTAAACTTCAGAAATGAGTTTTCCAGTGCCACAACTGAATTTCTACAGTTCAAGAAGAAGCTAGACAACATCAGGAGGAAAGTGAAATTGTTTAAAAGATTTCTATTGCTTCACTATTTTGGGACTAAAGGTCTAAGCATGAACCTGTAACTTCAAGGGAGATTTCATCCAGAAAACTGAGAGTTTGCTTTCCATTTTCAGTATTTCTACACAGATTGCCCTCCGTAGCATTTGCAAGCTGTATTTAGCATCAGTGATGGTGTAACGCTGTGATTTATTCTGTTAGTGTGCCATTACCTTTGGTGGGAGAAACAGTGTAAAACAGAAATTGTCCGATGAGTGCGATTTAAGTCGTGCGCGATTCCCTGAGACAAGCAACAGGGACTCCTGCTGGCCAGGCTCCGCTGCCGAGGGAAGAGGCGCCCGAAATCCACGGCTTGGGAGGGAATTTGGGGGTTGGGGCGCTGGGCGTCTTTCCCACACGCCGTGAAGCCGGAGCCCTCATCGCGGGGAAAGGCGGCACCGCCCTCTCTGGCGACGGCCGGCGCGGAGGAGCAGCAGGGCACCTAAAGACGTACTGGAGAGGCTGTGTTGACTTTGCCTCCTCTCTTCCTGCTTTTCCCCTTGCAAGACCAGGAATGGAAGGCCTTTGCAGCGTAACTTGGAGTAGAAAATCATCTGATGGTGGACACAGGTACCAGGAGAGCTGTCTGGTGTGGTGCACTGTCAACCTCCAGGATGACCAGTGATGGCACAGAGGGAAACCTCCCCTTACACAGCAGCATTTGCTTGGCCTCAGCTGCTTAACTTCAAACACATCACATGTTGACAGTCTTGAACCCAAACTGGCAGCCTTTGCTTACACCTACTCTGCCAGGGCACCTCAGAGGCTGTGGAGCAAGGGTGCTCCACCACTCTTTCCACAGCCCCTCAAAGGGGCTGTTTTGCTCCAGAGAGATATGATTTTCTTCTTGAGAGCTTTACAGCTACCATGGGCAATTCTGGCTCTGGTGCCCAGTCATACCAGCTATGTGCCTGCCCCAGTATGCACCTTTTGGGCCAGGCAGACTTCTCCATCCACCCAGCAGCACCAGCCTCTACTGGAAAAAAAGACACCCAGCAAGTCCTACCAAGATGGACGTGCCCACAGAGCAGAAAATTGCCTAGAAGATATTATCTACACCCTTCCAAAGTCTTACTGCATCCAGAGTTTTCTCCCTCATACTTTCCCCTCTCTTGAACATGTAGACTTCAAGAAGTTTATCTGGCAGATGCTGTTTTATCCCTGCGCCATCCACATTTATAGCAAGGACAAGAGGTCTAGAAGGATGTGACAAATATGTTCCCGAAGGTCACTGAAGCAAGAGAACAGATGTATGTCGTCAAGTATAAAAATACTTTAACGCTTTTCCCTGTGTAAACTGGCCTGGCCTGACAGAGGGATGCTACTGGGAAGCCATGCCCCTGAAAGCCAACCATCACGTAACACACTCTGGAGACCGGACTTCCTACTGAAAGACCAGAAATCATGATAAAACACATCCATAAAAGCTGTATGGCTTGTCAGCTCATATTGGAGCAATCCAAGAGCACCAAGAAAGATGTCTCCTCAGTGCCCACTGAAACTAAATTTAAGTAGGCACAGAGCTCCTCTGCCTTTCCCTCCATTCCTGCTGTTGCAAATCTTATACTGTGTCTCCAAAGGAGACAGGCACTCCCCAAAATACTAGCATATTCTCACAATATGAGCTTTGCCATTGCCCCACGCCACACTGTCACAGGCCGCTTGAATAATATGCTCTAAATTAAATCACTAAATTAAATCAGATAAGGACATGGATAACTGCAAAACTTGCTCCAAGGAGCAAGTGATTAGTGCAAGTTATTAGTGATTCCCTGCAGGAATAGAAGGGCCTTTGAATGGGGGTCCTGCGGGGTTCTGTTTAGCCTAGGTCTGCTCAGTACTGCTCCTAACAACTCATATTGTGTATGGAGTTTGAGCTTACACAGCTTTCTAAAAGCACCAAGCTGGCACTCAGAGAGGCAGAATGAGAATCATCAACAAGCATCTTGACCCCTGAAGAGAAAGTCTGAAATCAACAAACAACATTTAGTGAGGATAAATGCAAAAGTAGAGAAGCAAACCAACTTCTGCTGGCGAGATTTGTCTGGGCTTCAAGAATGATGAAAAAGATCTGGCTGTCAAAATGTGCTAAACATGCATCACTGGCATGATATTTTCATACAAAAGGTTGCATAAGTAAAGACATTCCAGGTTGCATAAGTAAAGACATTTCCTTCAACACCCATGAAGCAACCTTGTATTTCACTTTGCAGTCAGGAGGCCTTTGCAAGAGTACAGAGTCCTGTTTTAATCACTGAATGGTATACAAGACGCAGATAAATTAAACAGATTCTAGGGCAGAGAAAAAAGAAGGACAAGAGTTTTAAAAGCATGATCTGTAATAAAAAGATAAAGTACTTGGCTTTTCTTAGTCTGGAAGACAAAAAAAAAAAAACAACACAAAACTGGACAAGACATGATAGCCATCTTCTGATAGCCTCCAGAAAGGAAAGCAATCAATTAATCTTCATGGGTAGTGGAAAGAACAAGGAAAAAGGAAAGGTTTAATGTGCAGCAAAGAAGCTGTAGGGTGGAATATTGGTAAACACTAATGTGTCAATTTTGCATTGCATTTCCTGGAGGAGCCTATCAATGTTCATTGATAGAGGGAATATCCTTAGTCAAGTATATAGTTGATGCTTAAAGACAGGTGAGATAAATATCACTTATATGCAACAAAATAATTTTTTCTTCAGCTGCCACTAAATCCAAAGTTTCAGTTTCAGAATTCAGGCAGCTTTGCATATCAGCAGGTGTTGATAATGCAGTAATTATGTGGATAAAAAGTCCTGAAACAAAATTGAGAACTTGCAGGTTTACAATGAGAAAATTTCTTCTCTTTTCATAGATTTGCTACCAGAAATGGTTAATTATAGCATCAAGCATCAGTGTTATACAAATGGAATTAAAAATAAAAAACATATGCTACCTGTAGCCTGGGAAAGAGGCAGTTAACCCTGAATCTACAGAGTTAGAAGGCTGCAAGCAAATGAAAGTATTTTCTTTAAACAGTGTCAGGCAGCTTCTATTGAACCTACCACTTACTACTATCCTCCTAGAAAGACCTTCCCCACTAAGACGTATGTGTCACAACAAAAGATGTATGCTACATCTTTATCTGATGTCAGCTTTCTCTTGTGCAGGATACACATGGCCTCTACCTACAAAGCTCTGTGCCATTTGGATCTACTTGGATGTGCTTTTCTCCACTGCCTCCATCATGCATCTCTGTGCCATCTCACTGGATCGCTATATTGCCATTCGAAACCCCATCCACCACAGCCGGTTTAACTCAAGAACTAAGGCTTTTGCCAAAATAATTGCTGTTTGGACCATATCAGTTGGTAAGTGAGGTAATATTTCACCATGTAATTGCAGATTTCTAATTTTTGAGAGGATTTTACACATATACTGCAGTCAAAAACTTTATTCTCTGCCTGCAATATTTTGCTTTCAATAGTCTAAGAAGTGCTCTCATGTAGCAATTCTGCAGTGGAAATCAACGACAATGGGAAATGGAGGAGAACTGAGCAGCACTGTCACTAAAAGAATATACATCAGTGATAGGACTATTGCATTGAAGTTTTAAAGATGTGTTTATTTCTCATTTTGATTATCCATCATTCCCCTAACATCTGAAAAGAAAAAAGGTATATCAACTGAAAAAAATATTTTGCTGTTTTATGTAAGTCAGTTGTTCCCAGTTTCTTATTAGGGTAATTTGCTTAAAGATGTTTCTTATGGGCAGATCTTCTCTACCTTTCTTGGTGCATATGGTGGGGAATTTATGCACCCTATTTAGGAGACAACAAATGCTCTGTATACAGTGTGAATGAGAGGAGTTTCTCCAGAGGACAGTTCAGAGTTACAGTCTAAAGTCAGTGTTCTGAATGACCCAGTACATGAATCTCTTTTTGAACTGGCAAAACCCACATCCCCAAAACTAGGCATGGGAGCACTGTTCTTCCATTCCCATGGTGGCAGCATGAGCAGAGCAGTCTCATGGCATGGGAGGTGGAAGTTTGATGTGTGATGCCATCAGGGATTTCCTCACATACCTGGGGCGGAGGCTCTCAAATGCTTTGAAAACGCAGCTCCCTTTCTGCTCTTCTGCTTTTGTAGACCCTTGAGCACTGGCAGCTCACTTATTCAGATGCAGGAAAAATTCACTCTTTCACCCTGAAAGAAATGAGTGCTGTCAGCAACCAAAGGTAATTAGCTGCCTCCCTGGCTAATACAAATCATTGCAAGTGGTAATTGTGATCCCTTACCATTCTTCTGAGGGGAAGGAAAGGAGATGATGTCTGCCACTGATGCCTTCCTGCTGCTCTAAATCATCTCCTGACCTCCCCTGACTCCCACAGTCTGAGAAATAGTGGTCTGGGATTTACATGATTTAAAATAGCTGTATCTTCTGCTGCACAGCAAGAAATAGTGTGAGCCCTCACTCAACAGGAGGATGTTGCGACCTCCAAGACTTAATGAAGTTCAACTGCATCATGTGTGCCTCTGGGCACATAGTTCAGCTGATTAGATGCAGATGTTTAGCAAAGGCCAGGTGAACCCCACCCTAAAAATGCCTTGCTCTCAACTATAAAGGAAACCTATAGCAACTCAGATGTAGATATCTTCATTTAGATTAGATGAATCGTACCTTGTCTCTCTACAGTCACATTTTTATCAATCAAGTAGAAAACATATTAATTATTCTGTCCAGTTTTCTCAGTCTTTAAAAACCATAAAAAAGTCAAGCAGTCCTTAAAATTGTATGTACTGTGTTTGTCTGCATTTATGTGTGGTACCTCACGCTTAGTGTGTGTGAAATTACTATCCTTTTGAAACATGAATTCACCGAATGATCAGAATGACCATTTCAGAGGCAAACCAGTGGTCCAGCATGCTTAGTATCTTTCCTCAGACAGGGGCTTACTGCCAGAGTATCTGAATTAGCTCCCTATTCAAATGAATCCATAAAAATATATTATTTAAGCCCTATTAGTTAGAAAATGGTTTATGTCCTGTAGCAGAACATAGCTTAATATTTAATTTCAAAAGTTACAACTTCTTTGCGGTAATAACCGATAACTTACCCGTTGTAAAAACACCTTTTTAGCTCTCTAGAGAACTTTAACAGCAATAAGATAAGCTGCAGATATTTGTTATTACTATGGCAAGGTTTCTATTTATATAACTCTGAAAAGTACAACTCCTTATTTTATTGGAAATTACTCAGCTGTGGCATGAGTGAAGGGGATGGAGTCCTGCTTTACTGACGCTGGCTAAGGACACATGTAAGGGAACAGTGGATGTCAGGAAAACAGGTGGGCTGATAGGCTAAACTCCATCTCATTCACACATAGCCTGTCATCAAAAGAGAGAGAAGGTTAAATAGATATAAATGAATGCAGGCAAGCACACTGAGGTGGGCAGAAATGAAGTGGTGCTGAGCTGGTTTCTAGTCCTATGGAAGCAAGGGGCATGGGGAGATGAGTTGAAGGAAGACGAGTCAGTTCCCAGCATGCAACAGTGTCATGGATAAACTGGCAAATGGGATGTGCACTCCAGAGTACAGACAGGGAAGAAAACACATAGCAAGCTATAAAAAAGCTGATGGGCTAGTCACTGCCAGGCTGGACTGAGTTTACGCCATGGCACATCACTATATTATTAGAAAAAAAAAAAGCCATTATTTTTAGGAACCTTGACAGATCCCAGATCATCCATGCAACCTACTGTGAGTCATTCATCAACCCTGTCCTCCTGACCTGCCACCATCCAGCTCAGAATATGTAGGAAATGGGTTTCTGAAGGTTCTTTCTATATTGTTTACTAGTAGGACAGGTTTCCTGAACAAAGAGGTGCTCTATGCATCATTTACCACTTTCTAGACTGTCAGTGCTACTTAGAGTGACAGGGCTACAAATTATTTAACTCTTTGCATTTTCACATAGCTATGGCTGAGAACTCTCCCCAGGGTGAAGTGAGGGTGGTCAGGCACTGACACAGGTTGCCCAGAGAAGCTGTGGATGCCCCACCCCTAGAAGTGTTCAAGGCCAGGTTGGATGGGGCTCTGAGCAACCTGGTCTAGTGGACTGTGTCCTGCCATGGCAGGGGGGGTGGAACTAGAGGATCTTGAAGGTCCTTTCCAACACAAACCATTCTGTGATTCTGTGATAGCTGGCACAGGCAGAGCCAGTATTGGGAACAACACAACCTGCACAGTGCACGGTGTGGCTGACATCTGACTTACAAATTCAGATCCAAGGTTTTGCTCTCCAGCCTCAGATAGATATCTTTTGACTTCCCCATGCTTCTGTAGTTTGCAGCTCAGCTGGTGCCCTGTGAACTCTTGGATGCATTAGGTGGAGGGTAAAAAGCAAGAGAAAGAAATGAAAGATGTTATATTCTCCTGTGCAGAGGTTCATTTTAGCAGAGGAAGAAGGGAAAACAGCCAACAGCTGTGTGTTGCCAGCACATTTAATAAGTTCCAGTGTCCACGCAAATAGGTCATGGCTGGACTGAACAGCACTGATGAACACAGGAGTTTGTTGGATGCTACCTTCTACCACTCTCACTATGGAAACAAACTGTTTAATCCCACCGCTTGTTTTTCAATTTTCTGTCCTTCAACTCATCCTTTTTCTACAAGAGGATCTTTCTTCTTCTGACATTACAGTTTAATTTCTTTAACAGCTTTTAACGAAGAGTCTTGTCAAAGCTTTCTAGAAATCCAGGAACATTACATCAGTTGGGTTACCCTTATCCTCCTGCTTCACTGACTCCTGCAAATACTTGTAGATGATTTGTAGGGCCTGCAGAAATTCTTGTAGTGCTTCCCTATCTACCCACATCTCCTTCATTATGACTTCTAATTTACCTAAGTAATTACACTTTTGTTCACTACATTTGTAATTTTCCTTCTATTCACTACATTCATAATTTTTTTCAATTAATTGATCCAAAGACCAGTCAATCAGTGATTTTCCTTTCATTGGCTTCAGTGACATATGAAGCATTTTAAAAACAGCAGAAAAAAAGCACAAATAGTTTGATTGACCTGACTTCTGAAATCTTGTCTTTCTCAGTTTAAAAAAATAAATGTGTGCTAACATTTGTTTTTTGCATTTAGTGGAAGAAAAGCATTTAGCCAGCAGCCTTTCTTTCACTAGACCATACAATGCCATAGGCAATTGCTTTAAAATAGATTCTAATTACTGTAACAGATTCTAATCGTGTCTTTAATTCTTAAATCATCCAGTACCCACGGTGGCTAGATAATTAGATTATTTGTAGCTGTTGAAGGCAAAAGCCCATTAAACCCTGAAAATTGTTCCATTTGTTTTAAAGCACAGAGGTCATTACTGAGAATAGGTGTAAAAAGCCAAAGCATTTCCCCTTGCTAGAAAAATTAGAATTTTGAATAGAACTGGAATCTATAGAATTGTGAATAGAGCCTATGCTAAAAATATGGGTAAAATACCTTTGAGTCCTAAGTGGGACTAACAAACACATTGGTTTGCGAGAGACTAACAGTGCATCATTCCCTCTTCCAAAAATCCTTGAAAGGGTCACATAAAAGACTTACAGTCATGAATGTTAAGTCGTTATATATATAACATTCCTCAGTTCTTATTTCTCTCTATTCCTCTGTTAATGGTCTAAGTAATGTGAATTCTGATGAAACCCAAATACCCTAAGCTGAGTTTTCTCTTATCATTTCTCACTCAGCCTACACATCTGTTCACTGCCTTCAGGCAGTCTCTGCACTCCCCAGTCACTAACAACTTAGATTTATTCAGTACCTCTCATGCAGAAAAAAATTCCAACATCTAGCTGGATGCAGCTGGTAAAATACCTCCCACCACATAACTCTAAAATTTTGCCATTGCTTTTGAGACTTCAAAAATTAGAAATACGTAGCATGTGAAGCAACATTCTCCAAAGCGCAGAGTGAAGTTACCTCCAGGTATACCAAACAAGTCCAGTGCAACTGAGCCCCTGATAATTTGGCAGCTTTTGCTGACACAGAGGCTTACACCTCCTCCACAGGCAGCCTGCAATTTCTCTGCGTGACTTCTTGTTGCCCTACAGAGTATGAAGGGCCAGGGAAGCAGCAGGGATTGGGAGAGTACAACCACCAGTGTCTCTGGATTGTGGTTTGCTGAAAACTTTGACCTCCTGCCTCACTCCTCCTTCTGCCAAGGACAGCTTTCATTTGAAAGTCCCTTTACAGTTTTCAAAAGGCAACAAACAGTCAAGAGGTGGCAGTTTGGGAATCCCCATCCCGAATTTGCTACACATCCATTTCTTCCAGACAACATAATTTGCCATTTCATTCAAGTCT